CGTTAAGGGTTAAATTCATAAATTAATTTTTTCAGTGTACAAATACTTCTAGGATAATGATAAGTGGTCAACTTAGCACTGAGCCAACCCTGCAAGCACTCTATAGCGGGTGGTATACAGTGGGTGGTTCGAGGGGATGTAGTTCCCCCGCTGGCCACCACCACGGGGTTGAGGGCGGTTGGCCGCGATGAAATGGTCGGCCGTTGCGGGACTACGTAACGATGTCGCAACAAGGCGCGACAGTTCGCCACCAGGCGGCTGACCGGCCCAATTAACTCGGACCGATGGCTTCTAATTGCCGTGCCGCGCCACGCCGCTCCATCGTTGCTGCTGCGAAAAAATTCGCAGGAATTAGAAACCAGTTTCTGTGGCTTCTTATCTCGGAAGGAGACGACGTCGTGCAGACATGCGACTTTTACTTGTCGGTTGCGGTTTAACTGGGTTATGCCAAAGGGTGAACCGAATTGTTACGAAGACGGAATTTTATAAAATAAATTCAGAATTAAATTGTAAATTTTGATTTTACCGAAAATTTTGCTGCTATTTTTATACGACGATAATCAAATAATAAAGATCTACTCAGATCAAATAAAATAAATGAAAATATCTAGGAAAATCTTTGTTTGAGGGGTAGGCAACTTTAATAGTGTTTTGAAGAGACATAAATTCTCCATTGAAAATCGTAATAATATACTGGGTGTTCTATTTAAAATAAGAGAGTAACGTGCTTTTAAAGGTGACCAGTGTTCAATATTTATTTTGTCTCACCCTGTATAACTTTTTGGATTAAGTTTTAATTTGATATAAAGTACAATAGTTAATTTAACTACATATTAGGCTATACCGGGTAAATTCCAATTTAGGTAGGTAGCTTTTATTGTAATTTAAAAATAGTACTTTATTTCTAGAAAATGTTAAATATGTCAAAAACCTTATATTTTAGTCATATACTTCTCTTATAAAACTCCTAAAATCAATTAATATATAGGATGTTTATCATTACAAAAAACACAACTTTGGTATGTAACTTTTTTTGGGGACACCCTGTATAACTCTCTATATTTTTAAAATGTGCTCCAAATTAACCTACATATGCTCACCAAATTTAATTTCAATACAAACTGTCGTTCTCCTTAGAGCCTCCGCGGCGTATGAGAGGCGCCACCCTGTACAGGGCGACTCTTAAATAAGTGCAAATAGTTTCTGGAGATCTACCAGTCTCGATAAAAGAAACATATTTTCTTTACCGTTTTTCAAATAAGTCAAAAATAACCGAGTTATTTTACTTTAAATTTCAAAAAAATAGTTTTTCCTTAAATTTTGAGAACTACAGGATCTTTTCTGGGTTCTCTTTCTTGTAAATTTAATCTAGTACCTTGTTGCCATATTATTAAGAAATTATGTTTTGAACTCAAAACTAAAAAAAATTCCAAATATTTTTTCAAAAAATTCCGAGAAAAATTCTAAATTTTCAAAATTTTTCTTTCGCGAATAAATCTCATAATCGTGTTTCTGGGGTCGAAATATACTACTCTTAAAAATAATTGCACTTATTTTAGACCCTGTATAATTACTTACAAGGTATTAAGGTATTTACGAGTACCGAGTAGGTACAGGGCCGGCGGAAGGGCCGGGCGACCCGGGCGACTGCCCCGGGGCGCCGAATGTGAGGGGCGTCACGCCAGCAACTAAAATATTTAAAAAAAAAATGTTCGTGGTATTTTACTTATAACTGAAAAGCTATCAACTTTTTGTAAATAACGTTTCTTTCTATAATTCTTGTTTTTATAAAATTTCTCTAAACAAACTGTTTTGGGTCAAGAGCCAGCAAAATTGACAGTTTTAGACTGCTTGTTGCTCAAAATTGCACTTTGTCTACTACCCACACCCTTTATTTGTTAATGGGTGATCTGTCCTAAAATTATATGAGACAAATATTCATTCGCAAGAAGCTAAATAGGATCCCGATATCCTTATTATCAAAAAAAAGCTTGTAAGTTTGCCTCATCAAAGTAGTGGGAAAAACGTCAATCTTTTGGTGATTTTGATTGTTCTGGATTGAATATGTAGTAATACATGGTAAATGGTATCAGAATCGTAGAAATTTCTCATTAGAGCAAGACAAATAAATGCATCTTAAATCTGAAACACTGGCTGATCCTCATTTTGAAGCCGACAGAACTGTATCTGATCATACCTAAAATATACTGATTTTGCACGAAATAATTAAAAGAAAAAAAAAAATTCTTAAATTTTTATAGAAAAATAATGCTATTGCTTGCAACTAAATAGTAATGTTTTCAAAGATCACTTATACTTATCATTTATACCGGGTGCGTCTCAAAACTGGCTCACTCCTATAACTTGTTTATTTTTTCAGATGAAAAAACGAGATTCGGTATGTTAGTATACGACATAAATTAGGATTAATTGACGTATTCAATTGTTTTTGATCACTTCCTCTTTCACCGGAAATTAATAAAACTTTTGATTTTTAAATGTCAACCTCGGTATATTTCTACTTTATACGATAGAAAATGACAATCTGAATGGAATGACATATCGTATGTCAACTTTTGACATTTTCGCATATGGATTATTTGAAATTGTAACATACGGTTCATAACGACAATTTGACTCGAAATATCAAGTGTGCATGTGGTACAAAATTATTCGTAAAAAAATCTTTTTCCAAAAATGCAAATGAGCCACTTGTTCCATTTGAAAAATTGGCATATGATTAAAAATACGATTTGGGCATTTTTTAACCGACCAGGACAAGACACGAAAAACATTAGACGATCAAATCTATTTTTCCAAGGCTCCTTGTTTAAAAATTAGTGTTTTTAATAGTAGTGGGTACTATCGAATAAATACTATCGAAACATTCGATAGTTGCAATTCATTCGAATAATTCGATAGCTAGTAAGAAAACATTCGTTGAAAACTATTCGAATAAAAATTATCGAATAGATGCGTCATCTGCCTTGAAATATTGTATTCTAGTAATTCGGCAGCAAAAACCATTCATTTATAAAATTCATTCATTTATGAAATTCATTTATTCGTCAGGATCGATTATAATAAAATATTAACTGGATTTTAGTTGTCGCCCGGCGATTTCTTTCCGAGAAACCCGACAGCGGTCGGTGGCAATGCTATGAAAGAAGCAGGCATCTTTGCTTTTTTGCGGAGTCATATAAAGATAAGGACACATTATTTTTTTTATTGAGGTGCTAGTATTTACAGGCGCTGTTGCCATATATTGGTATTAGTTGATATTAGCAAAGAATATTATTGTTTGGCCTTTGGTTTGGCTTTAGTTAGTTAGGGATAGTATGTCTATATATTTTGCTTTTTTTTATTAATATTCTGTTGTTACACTGCAATAATACTTGATATTTTGGATGTAGGAAAATAATTTTTAATGTTTTTAAGCAAAGACTGGTTTAATAAAAAATAATAATAACAGTAATAATTTGTTATACCTATTACAAACAAAATTTAAAATAATTTAATATAATTTTTTTTACGTAGTAGCAAAATATAAACAACAAATTAGATATCAAAATTATTTATATTAGATCCTAATTTAAAAATAATATAGTCTTTAAGTTTTTTGGCAACGTTGGTTTATTAAATACTAATAATTACAGAACTAATTTGTTATATTAAAAACAAACTTTAAAATCATGAAATATAAACATTTATTAATTTTCTAAGCATGCAGTGTAATGGAAGGAAAATATAAATAAAAAATTAGAAATCAAAATTATTTATATTAGGTACTTTATATTACTATTTAAAAATAATATTTACTTTTACTGGCATTTACTTTAAAAAATAAATGAAATATTTCTTCGTAAAAAACTACATGTAAGAGAATTAGCATAAACAAAATACAAACATCGTTAACTTTTTTAAATTGGCACGTGTAAAACTTTCAATTTAATTTTTTCATCCCATAGTTTGAGTTCGATAACCATTTACTGAACCACATTACTTAAATATTATTATTCAGTTCAACTAATTCATATTATTAAAACATCTAAAATACAAATATGTATTTTTAAAATTAATTCTAAGTTCATCTCATCTCTCTTAAAATTGCTACTTCTCAACATTTCCCATTAAAAAATAGACCATATACCATATAAAATTAAATAATTGAAAGATCGGACTACGGAAAACCACACAAATTTTCGGAAAAATTTTGATGACCTGCATATGCACACAATCGTCAATAAATAAAATTAAAAAATAACTACTATTTTAGTATTTTAACTATTTTAATAAACGCAAAAATAGCACAGTATTTATACGGCGAAGTTATAAAAATTTGGAAGAACTAATAATGCACTGACGCATACAAAAATCAAACGAATACTAAATTTCATTTATCAAAACTTTTGATTCAAAAGCATTCGATAGTCGTGGCTCAACGATAACCATTTAGTCACATATGCTTTAGTATACAAATTTTTGAATGATTTTATTCGAATAAAACCATTCGATAGTTGAAATCATTCATTCATTAACCATTCGATAGTCTAATTCATTCGATAGTTCCCATCGCTAGTTTTTAACACAGCCATGTCACTCTAGATTGAAATTTAAAATACGATTTTTTGAGCAAAAATGTCGAAAGTTGATATATGATATGTCATTCTACTCAGAGAGTCATTTTCTATCGAATAAACCAGAAATATACTGACGGTGCCATTTAAAAATCAATAGTCTTTCGTTGAAACAGGAAGTGACCAAAAACAATTGAATACGTCAATCAATCCTAATTTATGTCATATACTAACATACCAAATTTCGTTTTTTATCTAAAAAAATAAACTTTCAAGATGCACCCGGTATAGAAAAAACAACCGCGGACTAAGATTGAACGAAGAGAAGAATTTGATTTGTACCTTTACATAGCTAAGGCTGGAAAAGCGCATATAATTGCCGAAACACTTATTAAACCTTGTTTAATAGATGTTGTCGAAACCATGATTGGTGAAAAGTATAGTAATAGTGTAAAAATGCTGCCACTTTCAAACGAAACTGTTCATAGGAGAATTTATGAAATTAGTAACGAAATAGAAAATACAGTTATTCAACGGATAAAAGGTAGTGGTTGGTATGCACTACAGCTTGATGAAACAACAGACGTGGCAGGGTGTGCAGTATTGCTTGTTATTGTGAGGTACATACACAACAACTCTGCAGAAGAAGAAATGTTACTTTGCAAACCTTTGAAGACCCATACAACCGGCGAGGAAATTTTTAAGATGATCGATTCTTATATCACTGAAAAAGAACTTAATTGGAATCAGTGCATTAATATCTGCACTGACGGTGCAAAAGCAATGACTGGTAAATATTCTGGATTTGTTGCACGTGTTAAAAATGTCGTTCCAGAAATTGAAAGTAGCCATTGTATTATTCATAGACAAGCATTGGCAGTAAAAAAAATTCCTCCCGTTCTTAAAAACGTTTTGGATGAAGCAGTAAAAATTGTAAATTTTATAAAGTCCAGGCCTCTAAATTCACGAATTTTTGCTGTTCTTTGTGAAGAAATGGGTAGCCAATTCACCACGCTTTTGCTTCACACCGAAGTGCGATGGTTATCGCGAGGAAAAGTATTGGTTCGCCTGTTTACTCTGCGAAATGAGGTGATGGTGTTTCTTAATGACTCTTCATTTGAATTATCATCAAGAATAACTGACATCAAGTGGTTACAATGTTTGGCATATCTTGCCGATGTCTTTTCAAGCCTTAATGAATTAAATTTATCACTCCAGGGAACTTCTGTAACAGTAATCTCCTTATATGACAAAATCCAGGCCAAGTTAAATAAAATACAGTTTTGGGAATCGTGTATAAACAGAGGAATCTCGGAGTGCTTTCCTACACTGCATGATTTTGTGTGTGAGTCGAAGACTGCATTGTCAGCAGAAATCACTTCGGAGATAATAAACCATCTTCAGAACCTACAAGTTTCAATCAGAGAATATTTTCCAAGACGAGAAGAGGATCTTGATTGGGTTCGCAATCCATTCTCAGTCCCAGTCGAAAAGTTTCATCAAACCCTAACTGTAAAACAAATTGAACAACTTATTGATGTTGCTGCCGATGGAAACCTTAAAACTACTTTCAACTCGGCTACATTGTTGCAGTTTTGGGCCCAGCTTAGAAGTGAATATCCAGAATTAGCCAATTTTGCTGTTAAAAAATTGTTGCCGTTTGCTACAACTTACCGTTGTGAAGTAGGGTTTTCGAAGTATGCTCTTACAAAAACCGACTTAAGAAGTAAACTTAATCCTGAAGCAGATATGCGGATACAACTTTCAAACATTGAACCCGATATCGACAAACTTGTATCAAACAAACAGGCCCATCCTTCGCATTAAGCTCATAAAAAAATATTTGTAATGAATATTTAAGTGTTTTACTGTTTCTGAGTTATTATATATTATGTACTTAATTCTTACATTTTTTTATTTACTCTTAATTTAGAAGCTCAATAAGTAGTATTAATATCGATATATTGACACAAAACCAAACATGCACTATGTCTTATATTTAAGAATATAGGGTAGGGGTTCCCTAGAAAAAAAAAGTGCACTCTAGGGTTCCTCACTCTACAAAAGATTGAGAAACACTGCCTTATACCATTCACCACTATCTCGTTGTTATAAGTATATGGTATAAGTTATGAAGATAGATGACAAATACACATATTCATTTATGACATTGAATGAATCCTCTAATCGTTAAGAGCCCATGAAGTGCTACAATTAGCAATAAATGAGCTTCATGCACTATGTTCGTGTAGGTAGGTTTGTATTTTATTTTGGTTCTTCCCTAGAACTTATATTTAGAAATTTTATCAATATTTTACCCTACTTGCTACTATCGTATCACCTGTCAGTTTCTAACAGCTTTTTATACATAATAATTAATGACTACTATTTATAGATAAACCTTGACGAGATTCTGACACCCATTTAATGAAAATAAAAACAATATAGATAAATCACTAATCGATTATACGCAATCAAATAACAGAAAAAATATATTTATCTATACATACCGATCTAGTCCATTCTAGTTTATTAATACAGAGGGTTAAGATTTTTACTTAATAGTAATAATAATATACATTTTTGACGAGATATACGAAAAACAAATAATGGAAATCCGTGTAATATTTTTATAACGCATTTATTGAGTGTTCCTACTTTAGATGACATGTTGCGATAAGGCCTTATCTTTTTTTTTGGTTTACTTAATACAATAAATATCTTTTTAAGCCAGAGACAGACACAACAAATATACAGAGTGTCTTTTGGTACTAAATCAGTTTAAAAAGTTATAAAAAAAATAAAAGCAATATGTACACATATTGCTTTTATTTTTTTTTTGAACACCCTGTAGGGTGTTCCTTAATGACATGCTGAGGTCATTAAGGAGGTAATTCTTGGACCTATTCTAAGAAAAAAATCATCATATGCATATATTTATCTCCTAAATCTCGTAACTTTTCAGATACAGGTAAAAAAGAGTGGTAAAATTTTCTATTTTTTTTAAATACAGGGTGGGCCACTGAAAACTTACAATGGCATAATTTTTAAACCAAAAAAGTTATCAAAAAAATAAAAAATACCGTTTCTATAATATCGAGGGGGAATACATATGACGTATTTTTTGAACCACCCCGACCTACCCCTTAGGCGGCGCCCCTACTCATTTGAAAATCTTAAAATGGCAACACCCCACTTGTGGCGCCTTTTTGGAAATGCCATGAAAAATGCTAAACGATGATCATAAAGTTTTTAGGGTGACATTGAAAAACTACCCCATACACGAAACATTAGGTGGACATTAATGAAAAAAGTGATTTTTTCTCAGCACAAGTTACAAATTGGGACCCAGCTAAATGAGGCAAATTAGGTATTTTTTAAACCACCCCGACACACCCCTAGGTGCCACCCCCTCACTTCTCTCAAGATAGCGATTCCCCACTTGTGACACTTCTTTGGAAAGCTAATTGAAATTGCTAAACGATGGTCATACAAACTTCAACTTAATTACTGGTAAGTAGTGACAAGAAATGTAGGTGTGACAATTTGAAAGAAATTTAAAATGATAATTTATTTTAACAATTGCTCAAAATGACAGCCGTTTTGTTCCATACAAAAATACAAACGATTTTCAAATTCTTCTCTCACTTTTTGGAAAGTCTCTCTCGGAATATTTCGACATGCTTCAGTTATCCTCTGCCGCAATTCTTGCAACGAATCTGGTTTTGTCTTGTAGACTATGGATTTAGTGTAACCCCTCAAGAAAACGTCTAAAGGAGTGGGATCAGGTGACCTTGGCGGCTACTCGATTGGACCCCTTCTGCCAATCCATTGCCTTGGATAATATCTATCCAACCACCACCTTGTGACAATAGAATAATGCGGTGGGGCTCCATCTTGCTGAAAGTGTATGGAGGTCTTCATTAAGAGTTAAATTTCCTTCCAAATACTCGTATCTTTGATTTTCAACCTCATTTACAATGGCTGGCTCTATCAGTGTTCAGTATTTCCACATAAGCATCACCAGTCAAATTTCCGTCGATGAAAAATGGACCTATAATTTTATCGCCTAGTATTCCGAACCAAACATTGAGCTTTTGAGGATGTTGGGTGTGTCTTTCAACAACAATATGTGGATTCACATCTGCTATCTGCAGTTCTGCTTATTCACATTTCCGTTTAAAAAAAATGAGCACTCATCACTAAATCAAATATTTTTAGTGAGTGAAAGTCATTAGTTCACAGTACTGAATCCTTCTATCTGAATCGTCGTCGCCAAGTTCCTGCAGAATCTTCATTTTGTAGGGATGGAATTTGTGCATTTTCAATACTCTTCTGATAGATGTTCGAGGTATACCTGTAATTGATACCATCTAGCATGTTGATGCTTCTGGATTGACCGATACCTGACCAATAACTTCCATCTGCCTTCATTCAGTACTCTGGACCCTGATATTTTTTTTATTTTTGACCGATCCAGTTTCTTGAAACTTTAGAATCAAATCTCTAACATAAAAGTGACTTACGTTTTTGACCGGATTCTCTCATTGAAAGCACGGGCCGTTCTCAAATAGCATATGCCTTCAGCACCATAAAGAAGAACTATTTGAATTCTTTCTTCCATAGTATAAACCATTTTTCTTTCAAATAAGCGAATTAAATAAAGGTTTAAAATTCCACCAAATTTGCAAATTCTAAAGTTTCTCGAAACTTTAGAATCAAATCTCTAACAAAAAAGTGATTAAAAAGAATGAACAAATTTCGAGTGGTTTTTATCCTAAATATTACTTGTATCGAATTAATTAAATTAAATCAAATTCATAATTAATTTAATAAAATAAAATTAAATTATTAATTAACTAATTGTTAAATTAAATTAAATTAATAATTAATTTAATAAAATAAAATAAAATTATTAATTAACTAATTTAATTTAAGTAATTCGATTCAAGTAATATTTAGGATAAAAACCAGTCGAAATTTGTTCATTCTTTTTAATTGACACACATGTTTACGAACACTGAAAGGCAATGAAACAGTAACCTTAAATTATAGTTTTGATCAATTGATCATAGATGGCGCAATATTAGTTTTCCACAAAGGTTTTCCATATTTAAGTTGGTAAAGAAATATTGTTTTATTGAAAAAAGTATGGCTCTAGATCCGTTTTTAGTCAAAATCAAAAGGCGCAATTAAAATTTCCAGTGAATGATAGAAAAATTTGATTATAAACTATGTGCATAACTTTGACCACGAATAACTCTTAAAGGAATATTTTTATGGAAAAAACCTAAGAGACCTTTTTTGTAGAGCGTAAAATTTTGTATTAGAATGTGTCTTTGCTGAAGTTGTAGGTTCGTTTGCTTTGGAGATAAAAAATTAAATGCAAAAGGTCAGAAAATCCCATGTTAATTAAATGGGAAAAGTATCATGATTTCGGCACGGTTTAAATTAAAAATTTAGAGGTTTTTTACATTAGATAATTTTTTTAGACCAAGAACTAAAACTTCAGTGGGCGGCACCAAAAAAAATGTCAACTTGGGAAATAACGGACACCCTAATATTCATGTGAAGTCTTTCTCTTAGAATAGTCCCCAATAGTCTCTTTATATAAGTTTATGATATCAGTAATCCCCTTATATATTACCATGTCATTAAGGAACACCCTGTATACATTCATAATTTTCAAGTTAATATATTTTTTAAATAATATAATTATAGTTTGTAAAGAATCTAATCATTAATTCTGTATACAGAGGCGGATATATAGGGGGTTGTTGGGGTGGGGAGGGGTTAAGATTTTTAGACATACTCTATATTAACCTATATTTAACCTTCAATAACTTTCGCAAGAGTCGATTAAATAAAAAATCATATCAGACCTTTTTTGAAGACCGTTCAATTTTCTATGATTTTATAAGAACATGTATAGATTTTCATAATACGCTGATTTGTTAGAAGACAATAAAATTCCAAAAAAAAGGTTTCCCCGTGTTTTTTAAATGGGAAATAGAAAATCACGATGAATGAACTCAAACTTTACCAGAATTTTTTTTCATCATCGTGAACGATATTTTCACAGTAATTAAAATGAAAAAAATACATCTTCTTTTAGTAAAACTTCAGTCTTTTACTTCAGATGAAAAAACATATAATATCTTGACACTATGGCAACACCGAAAATCCCCCAAAAAATCTAGTGGTTCTTAAAATTTAAACGAATATATTTTATAAATTTTCAAAGTAAAATAACTGAGCTATTTTGAGCTTATTCGAAAAACAGTAAAGGGAAAATATGATTTTTTACCTATGTGAAAATATGTGCACTTATTTAAGACTGACTTTATCACCCTGTATAATGTCGGCATTTTCTTAAAGACTTAAAAAGCAAGATGCTAAATTCTCTAATCTTTCTATTTAATCCGTTTAGTAATTTTATTATTTCTAGCGCTTTTATCAGCTGTATTTGATCATTGGGAATAATCCTCTTTTTATTTTTTGTTCAAAATACATTGTAAATTACATTTCTAATTATTTATATAAACTTTAATAAGAGGTTCAATAATTCGGAGGAATTATTACGAAATCGCAGATTTGCGTTCTTATCAAAAACAGCAAACTTAGTCAAGACGATTATGTGCTTTACGATATCAGTAAATAAGTACACTCACCGGCATCATTATTAATTTTGATGTATTTAAAGTTTTATATATTGTGGACAGATTTTGATGATATTTTAAGCAAATTGTAGCTAAATTATTTGACTTTTTAGTATCTATTTCTAAATGAAAAGTGAAAGTTTCCATCTGTAAATTATACGAGGGAAC